CACTTTTCCACCCCGGGGTGGTCAGAAGTCCAATCCTCGTGACGACCATGAGGTTTGGGGGTTTCCACGCCATGGTGTGGGTAAATTTGTGTTTTAATTCCATAGTATCATTTGTTTAATCTCAAGACCGGCATAATTACGCGTTTTTGAGGGCCCATNGCAGCTTACAATTTTGATGATAGGTACAGGCACATACCACGTGCGTACCACCCGCTCCTGCCAATACACAGTGTTTCGGCCTCAATTCCGCAAACTTGCTGAATCCCACCGNCCTATTGTTAATCCTACGGCAAATCGATTAGGTCCGGCTGAAATACCGGCGCTCCAAATTATAATGGATTTTATGGCGGTTAAATGGTTACGTTTTAGCTTTTCGGTGGAAGGTCACGTGGAACAAGTGCAACCCTTGCATCCCGTGAATTGCCAGGTTGCTTGGAGTTTTGAAAAATTAGGAGAATTAGTTAGTAGTATCGGTCTTTTAACCCNAAGACTCTGGATGAGCAATTTGATATTTTTCATGAAGATCATTCAAGTTCTCGAGGACCATCCGCTTCTGCATTATTTTCTTCACGTCGTTGATTCTGACTGACACTTTATCCTTCATCCCTGGCATCATCCGACTATTACTCTAATAAAACCTCCGGACCTTTTCAGTGTCTCTTTGGGCAATGATTTTTCAGCCTTCGCAACTGTTGAAGCAAATATTCCTCTCTGTTCTCGCAGTTGTTTTGGTCTCATAGCCATGTACTTTGTCGTACCAAATTCACGGCTCACCTTTCGCTCACTCTATGAAGGTGGAGCAATAGTCAAGAGTTGAANTCAAATTCACGGTTCACCTTTCGCTCACTCCATAAAGGTGGAGCAATAGTTAAGAGTTGAATACGTTCAGAATATTTTGTCATCGTATTGAATTTTTGCTTGAGTCCATCCAACATTTCTTCCAATTCCAATTCTCGTGGAGAACGAAAATTTGCTGGAATGTTCCTGTGGTGCTCTGTCTCTGAATCATCATCTGCTGTTGGAGCATCGTACTATTACGTATTATTACGTATTATATGAAGAGCCTCGTCGAGAGATTCAGTCCCTCCCAACTAGCTTTCCCAAACCCGTCCAATTTTTTCTACACTATTGCTTAACTTTAAATTAATGATAAGATGGCGAGCCCTCACCGCCGAGGTGCCACAGCCAACTTTTTCTATGGTCTCTGAAGGCATGTGGCTCCATCTAGCCGCAGGCAGGCTACAAGTTATTAAAATTTCTCGACGAGGCTCTTCGTAAAATCACGATTGTATTTCACTTACAGGTAAGTTCGTTTGATTGTACAATTTACTCCGTCGCCTCCTCTAGCCTCCTCTTTCACATATCTCCCCACTGAAACCCCAGGTTAATATTTTTCATAATATCAATTCAGTGAAATATTAATAAGTGTTGTGATAAAACGGTTAAAAAATAAAATAAGTGCCCTTTATTTTCTCTCCGTGAGGTGTATAACGCTGTGGAGATACATTGGCCTGTCAAACGTTTCCAGAAAAATTCTGGAATTTTTTTCTCCGTTTTGAACATGATTCAATTTATATATTTCGTGGAATGAAAATGTTTTAATTAGACGGAATAAACAATTCATTCATTCGAAACAAAGTTTTGATTTGGATCAAAGAAACATTGGTTTATATTGTAAAAAACTATCAATTTAAATTGAATCAAAATGCAAATAAAAATGAAGTTTACAAGCGTTATTACAATCTAAACCCATTTATTTGCTTGAAGTAGAGTTTATGTGATTCAAATAAACCATTTCTCTGAGTCTATGAAATTGTCAACTCAGCAATATTTTCCAGAGATAAATGGCCTTGAGAAAAAACCTATAACAACAATAAGAAGTGGAATGTGAGACAAATTCAGTGGACGTGTCAAGTGCTCAATACTCCACCCAGCGATACATATGAGAGCCTTGACAGGAGCGTTTTTCAGCGCACCCTCCACTCTCACAGTTTTTCTCATCGTAATTTTGCTCCTCTCCGCCAATCCAACTCTCCAATTCCCATTTTGCGATAGGAAAAGGAATAGGAGAGGTGGTTTATCTTCCTTCCTCTCCGGTTCTTATCCCTCTCTCCCTCCGCACACCGCATGAGTTATGAGTAGATTTGCATGGGAAAAGCTGTGTGGCTTCTTGTGAAATAACTGGACAGCTGGGGCACACTTGTGTTTTACTCAATGTTCCATTTTTTTTACTTTATATATATTTGAAGAGCATTTTACTTCACGAAAGATATTTTAAGAATTCAAATGATTTTTATAGATGTTTTTTTTTAGCACAATATTGAAATTAAGAATGTTGAGCCAGTGTCGGTAAATTCTCGGTAAATGTATTTTTTTTATGGTCAAGGAAAATTCTGTAATTTTTCCAGTTGACAGCAGAACATATAAAACTAACTTTTCTAACGTTAAAAAAAAATAATCGCAATAGTCTCGGTAGATATGAATAAACTAATTTTTCCTTATACACGGGCTCTTATGAAATTTATGTTCAAATTGATAATTCACCTACTAGAAGGCTCTAAAAATAGAAATAAAAGTAGAAGGTGATGTGCAAAACCATACTGAATCCAATGGCCAGAGAAAAATCTGGGGTACCCGGGAAAAAGAGGAAATACTTGAATGATTCTATCCCATATAAGCACATGTTAGCGCATGCATTTGGTGCATTTTGTCTATATCATTCCTTAATAATGAACATGGATTGGTGATTGAAATTTGTATCAAAGTGAAGGGAATATCTTCATCTCTCAGTTAAAAAAAATCAACTTTTTTTTAACCCTTTGACTAGCAATCTTATCCCCACTACCCAATTTATCTGGATTCATTTCACAATTTTAATGTATCTTTCTTTGTTTCACATATTTGCCAGGACCTCTAGCAAATTTGATAATTATTAACATTTAACAATTATTCCAAATTATTTTACGTATGGAAATATCAAATTTGAAAATATTGAAAAATAATGAAACGTGTTCATTCAAGGTCATCTGTAGCAGAATCATCTTATAATTCAAAATAATTATAATACTTCAATATGGGAATGTCTGGCCTGCAGAAATACGCTTCTAAAAAAAATACATTCTTCTCCCAAGAAAATGACTCCTCGGTAAGAGCATTTTTTTATCAGTGTATCATGTTTTTTATCTAAAATATCCTCGGCTATCGTTTGGGATCATTATCGACCTCATGCAAACAAATCCTGTTCACAGAGAAAAAATAGTAAAATGATTTTCTCTCACTTAATCATAAAATCGAATAGAATTGCTTCAACTAGGAAAATTCGATGGCGATGGTCTGAATAAATATATCCAAATGTCATGATGTTCCACCTCCCGAACCTTAAAGAGATCGATACTCAGTATCGAAACAAACTTTGTAGCCCCAATAACGTGAAATATCGAATACCATTTCAGCATTAAAAAGAAAATGATTTCCCTCCAAATTTCAAATTCGTTCGCTCGTAATGCGAAACTACAAAATTGTACAAACATTTGGTTATCGATGCCGAATATCGCCCCAATGTCTGTAATAACAGTTGTGAGATAGTAGAGTAAATGTGCACTGGGTATACACGACACAGAAAAACCAAGAAAACTCGAGTAATAGTAATCAAGATATTTTGCATATGTGCATATGCATCCCTCATTCGTTTTAATTTCCCCGGAGAAACACTCTCCACCTTCGCTGTGTGAGTCAAATAGCGAGTGTATTGCTCAATTTTCTAAAAATCTGTTGTTGTTCCGGGGAATGGAAGAAAAACAGAAAGAGGGTGTTTTTACTGATGAATATGAGAGTTGAAGAATGATTATGAAGTGAGAAAACTGACGAAAAAACAAATTCATGAGAAAAGGATTTCAGAAAAAGTTGTTAAGGTGTTTCTTCTGTACTTCTCGGGGGGAGGGGGGGGGGATTGAGGTGTTGTTGGGAAACTAACAATCCACTAACAAATGCAATTAAACTAATAATTACAGATTTATTATCCGCGTCAAATTAATACAAAGGTGAAGAGAAAATAATATGATCCGATCAAGTATGCGATACGAGCTGTACTCTTAGACTGAATTATATTCGCATGGAAAGGTGTCAGCGAGGCTGCCGAATATGCGTGGCACTGAAGGTGCGAGTGAGACGACAAATGCCTGTGCTCGTCTTTAGCTAGTGTTCGCGTGTTAGGATGTAGCGAGGCGCTACATAACTCCCCGGCTTGAAGTAAAAAACGTAGTTTTTTGAATCTGCAACAGAAAATGATCATTCTAGAAACAGGAAAATTTGTCAGGTTTGGCAAGCAGATGAAAAAAAAAAATTCGAATGAGGAGAGTTAGACGTAATAGACGTAAATTGTCGGTCTGTTGGCGAATGTTACCCCTCTCCTCCGTCTTCCAGCAACGGGTGCTGTGCTCGTGCTCGGCTGCGGCTGGTCCTGTTGTTGAGGCTCGTCGGGTACGTCTTGGTGCGGAGGCTGTCCTGGAAGCTGATCTATGTTCTCCGGCAGTATGTACGCTGGTTTCAGTCGGTCGATGGAGATCGGTGTGTTTTTGCAGTTTCCCAAACCGCCGGACTTGAACCAGATGACGAAATATTTGTCGTGGCGACTGATGACGCAAAATGGACCGATGTATGGTGGTCGGTATGTCATTCGCACGTGGTCGTCGCGAACGAAAACATGCGTGCACGTTGATAAGTCCGTGCAGATGAACGTTGAACGTGTACCATGGGGTGCAGCTGGAACAGGCGCGATTGTACGAAAATATTCGCGTCGATTTCTCAACAATTCCGGTGCTGCCGTTTGTTGGTTTGCTGGCACGAGAAACTCTCCGGGTAGACGGATAACGTTCCCCATACGTTAGCTCGGCAGGAGTCGTTTGAAGTTCGTTCTTCCACGCGGATCTCAACCCTAAAAGTATCAGGGGAAGTGCGTCGAACCAAGCTCCGCTGTGATATGGCAGTGCTGCATTTAGTTGGCGATGTAGCCTCTCAACCAAACCATTTGATTGAGGGTGAAAAGGCGTTGTCATGATCCTCTTGGTGCCTAGGATTCGCGTGAGCTCCTTGAATGTGTCTGAGAAGAATTGACCACCTTGATCAGACGAAATTCTCAGAAGTATTCCGAAGCGTGCGATCCAGTGGTAGAGAATCGCATTGACTACTGTAGGCGACTTTGCATCAATCAATGGAACTGCTTCTGGATACCGCGTGAATCGATCGACGATGGTCAAACACCAGCTGTGTCCGTTTGAGGTAGGAAGAGAGATAAGATCGACGTGAATGTGTTCGAAACGTCGCAATGGTGTCTCGATTTCAGCTATTGGTGTAACCGCGTGTCGCGTGATTTTGTTTTTCTGGCATTTCAGGCAGTGTTTGGTCCATTCAGAGCAGTCTTTATTCATGCTGGGCCAGACGTAATGCTGCGTGACGAGTTTCCGTGAACCTCTGCATCCAGGATGATCCATTGAGTGCAGCGAGTTGAATAATTGGTGTCTCAGCTGGGCAGGCACATATGGGCGGACTGTACCTGATGACATATCACAGTATAGTGGTTCGTCCATTCTTGGAAGTTGTAGGCGGTCGAGTCATAGATTCACGTCCGGTCGGTGGAGTAGGCGTTGAAGTTCTTGGTCGTCGCATTGGGCATCTACAGGGTGTATCTTAATGACTCACTTTCCTTTTACCCACTAAAGAAAAAAAATTCGTAGAATACGGGAAAAATATAAAAAAAAATCTATTTACCGGATTTCTTGGTATTTTAAATTAAAGACTAACCCATAAACGTCGAGTTCTTGGCGGAGGGATATCTGGAAACAAATGTCATGAAGTGAGTTGACGGTACGCTAGGGATTTTTTTTTGGTAACATTAATCATGGGTTATGAACAAATGTGAGATGGGAAATGTGCTTTGATTTTTAGACTCCAACCTATTCACAAAAATGTTGTAACTTGTCACGTTACATAGCCCACGTGTGTACATGATGTCAACCAAGGGAAGTCTTCCTCATGGTGACGGTCGGTATAAAATTGCGTCCACATCAGTCACACGGATAACGGGTTATAATATGAACTACTAATCGGAGGTTATAACAACTACCAGTTGAATTTTAATTTTTATCACTTTCCTACATTATTTACATGTACCTCCCAGTCCCAACAAAAAATTGATGTCGGCACCCACGACTGGTGATCGAAGGGATAAGGTCTTGAGGAATTTGGTTGGAACGTGCTTGTAGGGCGAGATTTAAGATTGAAACGCCTTACCAAATGGATTGAACTTCCTTTGGCTAAAACTTTCAATGCACTCCCCAGACCATAAAAAAAATTACTGGACAATGATTCCAGGTTGCGCGTGGCCGCGGTGACCTCCCGAAAGTAACGCTCTGATTACACCGCATCGGCGAAAATTTGCAAAATTTGAATTTACTTCAAAAAATGAAAAGTGTCATTCAAAACGAGGCCCTCGCAGATTCCTCCGGCTTAAACTTTCAATGCACTCCCCAGAACATAAAAAAAATTACTGGACATTTATTACATGTTGCGCGTGGTCGCGGTTACCTCCCGAAAGTAACGCTCTGATTACACCACATCGGCGAAAATTCGTGGAATTTAAATTTATTTCAAAAAATGAAGTGTCCCAAACGACAGTGAAGATTTAATATTTCGCCTGATTACACAGGAACGACACAATAAAAATCAGTGGAATCGACTTCATCATGTTCCTCTGAATGTGATCGATGGCTACTCTGAGCAAAAAAGAGTGATAGAGAAAGAATCCGCGATCAGGTCTGGCTGTCTGTACATCTGTACGTCTGCTTCTGCGTCTGTGTGCCTGTCTGTTTGTTTGAGTGTCTGTCTGTATGTCTGTCTGTCTGTATGTCTATGTCTGTCTGTCTGTCTGTATGTCTATGTCTGTCTGTCTGTCTGTGTCTGTCTGTCTGTCTATCTGTCAGGCATTCGTAGAATACGGGAAAAATATTCACAAACAGGCAGACCAACCAGCTAACCTGACAGAATAACATGAAAACTTTGATTTTTCTCGCAGATTTTTTTTTTTAAGTGTAGATGAATGTGCTACAAATTGGTAATAAAAACAGCTTCAAGGGATCCCAGAGTATGGCAGATTTCCTTCCACATCACAGACTTTATTGGTTGATATCATGACCACATGTCGGCTGAGTAATGTGATAACTCACATTTTTTTACATAGGTTTTAGGTTTTACAATATGAAAATGAAATCATTACATTTTCCATCTTACATTTGTTTATAACCTATGATTACAGTTCTCACAAAAAAAATTTCCTAGCACACCGTCAACTCACTTCACGGCATTTGCAACGCGGTCAAGAACGAACCGTTTATTGGTTAGACTTTAATTTAAAATATCAAAAAATCCGTTAAATAAATTTTTTTTTGATATTTTTCCTGTATTCTACGAATTTTTTTACATTAGTGGGTAAAAGGAAAGTAAGTCATTAAGATACATCCTGTATGAGCTGTTGCGTTGTGACAGCGGTTGAGACGGCTTGGACTCATGACAGAGTATCTGCCACGACGTTGTCTGGGCCCGCGACGTACTTGATGTCCATGGAAAATTGGGCGATGTAGTCCAATCTTCGGTATTGCCAGGGTGAAGCTCGTTCTGGTTTTTGCTTGAACGCGTGAGTCAGCGGTTTGTGGTCAGTGAAAATGATCATATGACGCCCTTCAAAGATGTGTCTGAAGTGCAGTACTACTTCCTAGATCGCCTGCAGTTCCCTGTCGTAAGCCGCGTATTTCTGCAAGGAAATCGTGAGCTTCCTGCTGAAGAATGCAAGCGGTTGTCAGGAATTACGGTGTTTCTTCTGTAAAATGGCCCACTCTGCTTCAATATTTAGATGAGACAACCGAGTAGCCTCTGCCAGAGCCTGTTTGCTGCGCGTGAAGGCTTCTTCGAGGGCTGGCTTCGAGGGCTGGCTCCCTTGATGAACTCCCGGTAGAAATTTAGAGTACCGAGGTACCTGCGCAGTGCTTTTACAGTGGTAGGCCTCGTGAATTCGAGAATGACGTTGACTCGATCTCTGGGAGGCTTAATTCCCTGGGCGTTGATCGTGTGTCCAAGGAATATGACCTCTGGCTACCGCAGGACTACTTTAGCGACTATCAATCTGTAGTCCTGTAGGCGTTGAAAAAGTATTCTCAGGTGTTCGCGATGTTGTTCTTCGTTGTCCGATGCTACCAAAATGTCATCCATGTATGGAAACAGAAATGGTAGATCGCGTGTCACTTCATCTATTAGGCGTTGAAACGTCTGAGCCGTGCCTGAGGACAAAAGTCATGTACGGAAATTCGAAAAGTCCAAAGGGCGTGATTATCGTGGTGTCCTCAGGTGCAACTGGAATTTGAGTAAACGCTTTGACCAGATCTATGATAGAGAGAATTGTTTTTTCGTACAAGTTGGCAGCAAAATCCTCTAAATAACGAACAGGGTACTTATCTAGTAAAGTCCTGTCGTTGAGTGCGCGGTAATCTCCGCATGGTCTCCATTCGCCATTCTTTTTCGGGGCCAAATGGAGCGGAGATGACCAACTTTCATATCTTGCAGTTCCCAGTTTTAACATGCTCGGAAATTCAGTATGCGCGATTTTGAGTTTATCTGGCGCCAAACGGCGCGCTCTGCAGGAGATAGGTGGTCCCGGTGTCATTATAATGTGGTGAAGAGTAGAGTGCTCCGTTTTTCTGAGCAGTCCCTCTGGTTTCGTTATTTCCGGGAATTCTTTCAGGATGGACGCGTACGGTGAATCTCCATTGATCTCGAGGAGCTTAAGAGACAGTGCGCGGAAACGCGTAAACTGACCATTCGATTTTAGGCCTGTTGAGTTGTCAATTAGGCACTCGTTCCTCAAATCCGGCAGCAGATTGAAGTGGTGCAGGAAATCAGCACTAATGATTGGTCTGCTGGCGTCTGCCTCGATGAAACACCACGTTAAGTCTCTGCGGAGACCGAGATCGGGCGAGATGGACGTGTAGCCGTACGTGTCGATGAGGGTGCCGTTGGCTGCGAAGAGTTGATAGCCACTGGTGTCCCTTTGGTTTGCTGGCCGCCTGCAAGGCGTGACAGAGACATCTGAGCCTGTGTCCACTAGGTACCAGGTCCCAGTCGTTCTGTCAGTGATGAGTAGGCGCCGTGATTTCAAGTGAGGAACGACTTCCGCCACTATTGTCTCTCTCTGGAGTTTTCCTGAAAGTTGCAACCGGACGCACAGTTACGCGCTCAATTACCAAATTTAAAATGGTACCAACAGGTCTGCGTTTGCCCGAAGACCTTGGTGTTCGATCTGCTACGCGAGCAGTTGTTGTTATCTCACCCGCGGGATCGCGAGTGGGCACGTGAGCGTGGATGTGAGCGCGAGTTCTGTGCTTGCAGGGCTGCGACAGATGCAATGAGTGCTGCTACCTGAGCCGCTAGCTGTGCGTTTTCCCCTGCACTCGACTTTGTTACCGCCGCAACAGTATCTGGATGGTAGACCTTGTGGATCTTGTCTGCGAGCTTTGCTAGGTCATCGGTGTTTACCTGGGGTTGGATCACCAGACATGCTCGGGTGCTCTCCGGAAGATGAGATACCCAGCGTGCCCTCAAGACTTCATCATCGATATCTGGAACTAAACTTTTCAAATGTCTTAGATATTGAGAGGGTTATCGATTTCCAATCGACTCCCGATCAAGTAATTGGATAAGATTTGCTTCCTTTGACTTTGTAAATCGAGCAATCAGAGCGTTTCTGAGAGCTTGGAAAGGTGCGACTTGATCGGGAGTAATAATTACATCCTCTACTTCTGCAGCTGATTCTGTATCAATCAATGGTAATGTTCGGTAAAACTTATCTGTTTCTGTTACAATTCCGTAATTGCGGAATTGGGCCTCCAGCTATATGAACCAAGTCGTGGGTTTGTCACGCGAGAACTCCGGTATCTTGATCTGCGGCAGTGCGGAGGCTGTCGTTGTCGTGACAGTCGGGACCGTCAGCGTGCCGCCTGTTGTGGTAGACATCGTATCTCACGTTGTTGGTTTTAAATAAGCAGCTAGGATTATCGATTTTTTAAATTAAATTTCGAAGAGAAATAAAATTAAAAGTATAAAAGTGACGAAAAATAAAGGCGTTATAAGTCTCTATTTATCACCAACACAACACAACGTCTCTGGGTGCTCAACAATGTGTCGGTGCGAGGTCACTGTTCACTTGAATACGGCACGTTGTTTTGATTTTACCGAAACACTGAGAAATCAACGGTTGGCACTCGGACACTTCGAATGTTCTAGAAGCTTCGAGATGCCGTGTTTAAAATTTTCGTAGAGAAAAACCACACGGTGAAAATAATGTCTCATCAAGCGAGTCAAATAAAATTGCACTTGCACTCGGGGTTATGCGGCACTGGAAAGCTAGCTGCGCGGGTGTTCACCAAGGATAGGATAAAATCGTTGGGAAGCGCTGATAAAACTTTCGAGCAAAAATGCACGCCACGCCGCGAGTTAATTTTCCCTTTCGATTAACGCGAATTTCCCTTATTTTGATCACGTT